GGTTCTCTCTCTCTCTCTCTCTCTCTCTCTCTCTCTCTCTCTCTCTCTCTCTCTCTCTCTCTCTGACCCCGCCACACAAAAAACAACAAAAATTACCTGAATGATATTCATAACTCAAAATACTCAAACTGTTTTATGCAAAAAGCCATGAACTCAATTTAGTCTCAAACTGTCTTAGGCGAAAAAAAAGCCTCGAACGCTGTTTTTTATGCTGCCTCAAACTCAGTATACTCAAACTATTTTATGTAAAAAACGTCTCAAACTCAGTATAATTCAAGGTGTAACCTCCATGCTGTTTTCTCTTGCTCCCACATTTAGTCAAACCGTTCCCGTGGACCAGCTGGGTGGCAAACCTCTGTGCATGGCCCAGTACTACCAGCTCCTCAACGCATGCCGTATCCCGGGTCTGAAGAAAGACACTCACGTCTGCGTGTCGCCCACCGACCCCAACCAACCCAGACATATCAACGTGATACACAACAACCACGTAAGTCACTTCCTGTCCAGTCGTGTCCGTATTGTCTCCTGTCAGTTTTCTCTTTTTTTGCTCACACCCCCCCCCCTTTCATCATTCAGGCCCACTTTAACTCATGGAAAAGTTGATATCTTGTATCCCATGTAATTTGAATAATGATAGGTACAAATATAATGATATAGTACAACTTAAATACTTCGACATGGGAGAGCCTTGCTTCTGGCAGACCCAGCTGGAGAGCAGCACTCACAGTGGGCAGCAAATCATCTGTGGCTTCATGAACAAGAAATGCTGAAACTAAGAGGGAAGCCTGCAAGCTAAGAGGAAAGCCTGCAAGCTGTGCTTTTTCAGTAGTGAATGTGGAGCTTTAAGAATGTTCAAAATGGGGCAAACTTTTCTCTGCCAGAATTGGTTTTGTTAGCCACAGCAGAAATCACAAGTCATTTTAACCTTTAAATTCTTCAAATTTTTTTATTTCGCTGGAGAAATATTCTTCTCCTGTGCGGATGTATTGGTCATCGTCAGGCGTTGACGGACGAGCTATTATTATTATTATATTTAGTACATGTCAACAGCGCATCACTTGATGAAAACTCGTCTTTTGTGCGTGTAGCCCTGCTGTTCCTTTGTCCCTCTCCTGTATAAGTAACTAGGAACAAGGGCACGCCTGTAAAATTTTACTTTCTTTCTCGTACACGTGTGCACTTTTTTTAGGGGTCCAATGGCTGTATTTTTGGCTTCAAATTGCACATATAGCCACTAAGACTATAGCAAATCGATTATTTTCAAGAAAGTTTCAAACCTTATTTCAACCCCCCCCCGACACAGACACACAAATACAGTGAGGACAGGCATCATTTTTACGAACACACTCACTTTTATGCATGTTTTGGACTCGTTTTACGGTCTCATCACATCCCCCCACCCACCCCCCACCCATCATTTCCCAGATTTTCTCAGTGGATGTTGTGGGTGCGGGCGGGAAACCCCTGAGCATAGACCAGATTCGGCAACAGCTGGAGCAGTGCCTCAACCAGAGCCAAGTGCCGGCTGTACCTGTAGGCATCTTGACCTCCATGGACCGTGGCTCCTGGGGTCACGTCTACTCACAAATGGTCAAAGGTCAGGGTTCACGTACAGTCTCTCTCTCTCTCTCTCTCTCTCTCTGTCGCTCTTCACACTCTCTCCCACTCACTTTTTCTCTCTTTCTTTATTTGTCTCTCTCTTTAGATTCTCTCTCTCTTTCTCACTCCCCCCCCTCTCTCTCTCT